ACAAATCCTCATATTAATTATAAGGAAAAATAATGTGTAAAAATAATAATTGTGAATACATCAAATACGATAAAGAAAGCCAAGATCGGTCAAATTTTAGATGCTACAAATAATACATTACATGTTCTTTTATTAAATCAATTTATTCCAGATATTAATAATATCAAATGTGAAAAAAAAAAGAAAAATAAGATGAGAGACAGATATATGTTTTTAGTTATACTTACTTCCTCGCCTTTTCCACGAGATTAGAAAAAGGAATCTCCCAAACATACATTTTAATTACTTGCAATCCAGTAATTACCTGATTCATCAACCTAAGTCTATTGTCTGTTTTTTCTGCTGATTTGAGCGTTAAAGGTGCAATTATTTTTGCCAAGAACGCTGAAATAGTATGCGTCATTTTGAAATATTGTGACAATCTTATATTGTTACAGAGATGTATTAATCGTACGATTTTTACAATCATTTATTAACAGGAAGACGCAAATACCTTGAAAAGGCATGAATAGTAAAAACACTGTTATTCCGATCAGTGCTGCCCATCCAATTTCGAAAAATGTAATGTATGTGATCCATATGATTTGAAGAGGGGCGATCCAAATGTAATGCAGATCTACCAAGGACGCTTCCAATCTAGTAATATCGCTACTCAGAAAATTTACCATCTAAAAATGTATAAACTCGGATTAATCTTTTAGCAAGCATTTATTAAATTGTTCTTTTGACTATGGTTTTACATGATATAAATATTAGTAATACATTGTGTATATATATACACAAACACACACACACACACACACACGCACGCACGCACGCACACACACATAGTTTTAAAATTATTTTAGTACAAAAAATTTCTTTATATTCTACAATATCCCTATTCTTCTAATTTCTGTATTCTTTATCTAGTGCTTCCTCTACGTCACATTTCATCAGACATACCCTGAGGAAATGAATATTTAGCTTGTATCTGGCTCACCTGTCCAACAGATGTTTCACTGTCTAACACAGAATTGGAGAGCTTTAATATTTTTTGATAAATCAATGCGGTACAAGCCACTTTAATTTTCAGTCCTATGTGAAAGGAGCAATGTACACAATAATGCGTAATAAAAGCATCCATGATGGACAGAAGAATTATACCGCCTGCGCTGTAATATACTTCATCGCTCCATTCTTCTTTGCCGATCGCGAAGTAGCGCAACAAAGTAGCTAGTAATAACGGTTGATACATTCTGTAATATAATTAAACATTATTAGAAGCAATAGCGTATATGAAAATTATATTATAAATCAAATATATTAATAACTTATTAACTTATAACTTTTGGTTGATTTAGTTTTTCTTAAATTTACGCTGAATCGTCTAAAAAAGTAAAGTTTATTTTTACTAATGACTGACTATGATAAACTCTTTAATATATATGTATAAAAAAAATTATTTTTTTTTATATTTGCAGTTGGATTTTCTAATCAGATAAAATAATCTTCCACTTATACACATTACCTATTTGTCACTCTAATGAAAAAACTATTATAATTAATTACATATATATCCAACATATTTACAATATTTATTTAGTAACGTAGCTTCCATTTCAGAGCAAGCAGTAGATAAAGCTGTAATTTGATTTCAAATGCATCGTACTGATATACAATTTGTTTATTTTTATTTGCTTAACATACCTAGAAAATAGCTCCATAATTGCTTCTGCAATTCCAATTAGAAGAAGCGGTTTTCCGAAAGAACGCAATAACACCCTAAGTAATTGTGGTTTACTGCCATTTTTCTTTTTAGCACATGATTCCACTTCTCTTTCCCAAGCTTTAGCTATAATTTCACCTAAGTTGTTGGTTCTGTCTTGTGTAAGAGTAGCATAAAGATCGGTCTCCTCCAAATCTTTTTTGTAACCAGTTCGAAAAATTTTTCGGGTCCACCTATATGTATTAATCGTTAAACTCCTTAAATTCCCATATAGTAGATACTTAATTATTATTTTAACTCATGCAAATATATAAATATTTGCATGTATGTATGGAGCATATACAAGTGCATATGCGTACTGCGAAGAACCTTGAACGCGCATTAAAATATTATATATAAAGCTTTAAAGCATTGCATCAAGAGTATTTATTTGCAATAAAAATATTTTTAATATT